AACACATCAATTTCCCTTTTAAGTCACTTACGTAAATCTTGGAAAAACATAAAACAGGCACTTGGCGGTGACTTAGCTTTGTGTCATCGGAAACGCTAAAGTTGTCTTGAGCAAAATACCGATATGTATCACAGAAAAACAACATACAGAATGAAAATTCGTGTACATGGTAATATATTCAATATCTCCGGCTTTGTCTTTATACTCATGTGCAGCTCAAGTTTCAATGTCGTGCAGTAGAATGGTGGAAAAAATTTACTATTAACATTGTATTCTTGACATGAGTGTTTAAAGTAAGTCTTTCGATTGAAAAGGAAAAGTAAGTCGTGGAGCGGACCAGAAGATTTGACCGCGAGATTGGAAGGAAAACGGTATGGAATCGCCACTATCCATCACTCTCAGACGACCTTGCCAAAAATACATATATTTATAAATAAAAATGTGGCAACATGTTTTGCAGTTATGAAGAGGGTTACCTGCCCAAAAAGGAAATCTTGTGTAATAGTACTCTGTGTTTCATCGCTATCACATCCTATAATTTATTGGAGTGCCGACATAAAGAACACTTCGGGGTCAAGCATTTCAAAAACCCAATGCAGCGTTAATAATAATAATAATAATAATAATAATAATAATAATACTTATTGCTTTGTATTGTGAAAATATCAACCCAGAGAAAGAAATTATCATCTGCGCATTACATTGACTCCTTAAAATCCTACTTAGAGATCCTATTTAAAAAGGCTACATTCCTGGTACATTTTATTCTAATTCTAAAAATTCTATTATGTACAAATCGTACTTAATAATTTATGAAAAATAATAATTCTAAAATTCTAAAAACAATGACTAATTATTCCTTAAAATACAAATCCTTCTAATAAAAAGAATAAAAATTAAATTAAACAAATGAATTTTGATTAACGAGCCTTTTTAAAAGCATTAACTGAAGGTATATTTCTAATAAAAAGGGGAAGATCGTTCCATAATTTTGGGGCAGCCATATAAAAAAATCGATCTCCCAGCGTGGAAAGAGACTTGCATGATGGAATGTTAAGACGTTTGCCGTCGTCATTTGATCTTAGATAGTGTCTTTCAGAGATACAAGTTCAGGAATGTAAGTCGGAGCGAGTTGATGAATTGCCTTAAAAGTTAACAATAAAATTTTAAAAACTATGCGATATGCTACGGGTAACCAGTGTAGGGCTCTTAGCAATGGTGTAATATGACACAATTTACTTTCTTCGAATACGAGGCGTGCAGCAGAGTTCTGGACTCTTTACAGTTTGTGAATCTGATACGCCAGTAAGGGGCTGTTTACATGGAGGGAGGAAGATCCTAGTACCAGGAAGATCCTAGAAGGTGGAATAACTTACGTTGGGTTTGCATGCAGAAATTTCGGCCCGTGAGTTGTCCAAGTAGAGAAGGTTACAGAAGAAATTAAATTTGGCGGACGAGAAAATCAAAAATGCAATTTGGGTCCTTCTGCCCTCTTTACTGGCGTAAATCACTACCTTTCAGCAGAATTATCACAATAATCAGCTCGTGGTAACGCCAAACGAAATGGTCGGCCTTTATTGCCGTGATTAGCCACTGAACGACCCGCCCCTATTTTTGTCTGTTTTTTCCCTAGTACTAGGATCTTACTAGCGAAGGCAGTTTACATGGTGTTAGGATCTTCCTTCCCCAGCTCTAGGAACAAGTACAACTCTTTGTATGTAAACTGAATACATAAAACATATGGCGCTAGGATGATCCGCCTTCTAGGATCTTCCTGGTACTAGGATCTTCCTCCTTTCATGTAAGAAGACCCTAAGTCATATGACAGTCTACTGCAATAGCTAAGGCGGCTAGAAATAAATACACCCTATTCGATGGTTAAACCAGATATATTACTAGGAGATCTAAGAGATAGTAATGCTGCGCCACATTCTGTTGATACTGGCATTAGTTAGGCAGTGAGAATTAAAAGAATCGAAAATGACATTGAACGTCCTATTTACATGTTGGAAAGTACTAGAATAATTACAATCAGTTTATAGAAAGAACTCGTGGGAACGTTGTTTAGAAAATGATCAAGTAGTTACAACTCTGGTTTTCCTACAGTAAATTGTAGGAAATAATAGAAATTCAGATTGTTTATCCATAAATTTAATATACCGTGCACGATATTTTCTCTGGAAACACAATACTTTTCTTGCTGTTTGTTGCACTTTATTAAGTAACAGTTATTTAGCTATATATTTATAGAAGACAACAACACAAAAAATCTGCTCCATCTGCTCGTCAGGTTTAACACCTGGAAGAGTCAAAGGCTCTTGAATTGAAATCTAATCCCCAAGTTAACCATCGTACTCATCTGAAAGACTCCTGCGTGTCTTAAAATTTGGTAAGACCTCTAACCGTGCTGTAGCAAATTTGCCACGAAGAAAACTCTAAGTCTGAGCAGCGAACGATGCACTCTCTCACCCACCGAACGTCCCCGTGTTTTTATTTGAGTTGTTCGTGGCGCAATGCACTCTGGTTAAATGCAATGCATTGTCGTAAAAAGTGTGGCTAAATGCAATGCATTGTGGTAAAAAGTGATGAATTCGAGAATTGGTCGCCCCTTATATATTTCCTTTAAATCCTGATTATGTTGCTGCTCGCTCCCTTCGGTCGCTCCGCAGCAACGAGCAATGAGCAAAATGTCCGCTCGTATTATATGCTAAACCATCGAATAAGGGGTTTATTATTCCACTACAAAAAAATTGTTATTTTGCAGTTGGCTCCTCTCTTTTTTGGTAAGAGTATTCAGAAACATCCTGATTCCGTCTGTGAGAATGACGTTAACAATGAGCAAAATGTTAACGCGTATTATATGCCAAACCATTCAATGAGAGGTTAATTATTCTACTGCAAAAATGTTATTTTAGCGTCTATTTTCTATTTTATTTCTTCCGCCAGTTCGTCCAGTTTAGCCATAAGTTACTTCTTTTGCATCCGCTGGTATTCGCCCTGTTCGCCCTGTTGTAAACCGGTTAAACCAGGCCACTACAGTGTATTACGGCCTCGTATTTTGCGCGTTCTCTTGACCTTATATGGTAAAATGACATAATATTGGAATAATAAAGGCATGTATCGCAGTTTCAGTACATTCCTTATCCTCTTGATATTGTACAAATAATAGAATGCTCCACAGGTTGTTTTCGTTACGCGATCACCCATTGATAGGTTAGAACCTAACTAGACACCCAGATTCCGAACGGGAAATTGTGGAGCAATGACAGAGCGTCCGATACTTATGCTATCAATTGTGACTTTAGCGAGTTACTGTCTGGTGCCGATCAAAAGAAGTTCTATTTTAGCATCATTCATAAGTAACTTGTCTTGAGACATCCTCTGCTTGATGTCTTTCATGCCACGTTCGATAGAAGCAGCTGCATCAGCCTGGCCAGAGTGCGCCTTGGGACTAACGAGATGTATAACTGAGAGTCAGCGGCATAACAATGAACAGTTGGGAGGTGCTTTTCGACGACATCAAAAGGTGTCAAACATCACCTCACCTCACTGCTCAAACAATGGGCTGTAACAACAATAGGAAAACCACACAAACAATTACCCTAACCCTCAAAACAAAAGGCAATATTGTTTTAGAAGACCACTTAAATTAGAGGTTCCTATGAGGTACTGGACTACTCCATCAAACAGTGCGCTTGCATAAACCGTAAAGAGAGAACGGCAAAGACACGAGCCACGAGGCCATTATACCGCAGGTCAAAGTTATGAGAAACAGCTCTCCGAACAGAGACTCGCTTGCATAATAATAATAATAAGTTTGTGATGATAATCTGTCAAGGAGAATACTGTGATCAAGGGTATCAAAAGCAGCGCCAGTAAGTTGAGTCGGAACTCCGAACAAGCACATTTATTACACAACGCTAGACAGTCAACTGAAACAGACAGAGAAAACAACATAAGACGCAGAGTGAAAGGTAACCTAGGTAACGGGTTAATTATGCGTGTAGAGAATAATATAGCAGCACAACTATGCGAGCTATGGCGTGGCTTCTTTCTCCTTCACTTCTATAAGAAAATAACAAGAAAAAATAAAGAAGAGCTAAACTACGTTACCCTGTTCGTGGCAGTAGCAAGAAAACATCGAGTCATAGACTTTCAGGATGTGAAAAGAATTTTCGGAATTTCATGGCATCAACTTAGTGACATAGTCTTTGAGATAAACCGGGCGACGAGTCGGACGACGAGACCGGCGTGGTCCAGGACTCCTGGGCGAAATTTGAGGATCAGTGGCAGGAACTTTCAATTCGTCAGCACATGGGGAGTCGGGGAGGGTAACTGAGTCTTGATGCTAACAGATAGAACTATCCATACTGGACACAGGAACATTTCCATTAGGAACAGGGGGGAGTTTGACGTTTGACTGGCATCGGTCGGAGGGCTCGGAGGAGCGGCAAGTGCTTCAGGGATCTGGGGTGGAACCACATAACGGGGGCTCTGAGGGACGGAAGAAACAGCAGGTTCCTTGTTGATATCCTCATCAGTATCAGGACTGTAACGACGTGACAGGTTAGGCGTGGGCTCTATTTGGCCAGCAACAAGATAACACTCAGAAAGCTTAATGCGGTAGGACGTAGAACGTAGCTGGGTACCGGTAAACTTCCGTAGGTTGCACCACGAACCATCGGTAGAAACCACAAGATATCTATCATGGACACGGGTCTTGGAGGCATCAGAAGTAATGTAAACCAGATTGTCGACCTGTGCAGTAGCGGGCCGGCGAGGACTGCAGCCAGGAGCTTTAGAACTTTCACTGGCAAGGTGGTTACTGAGGCGCGAGGAGTATTGCTGTCTAATCAGTTGGAGGTAAGACAAGGAATCTGGGAGTTGGTGAACTGATCACGTTGAAACCACATTTCCCGAGAAGACAGCCCGCTGTTACGTATGCGGGTATTAAGGTTGACGGAAGCTAGAGCTAAGGAAAGTAGGGAGATAGGGCCTCCCTCTGGGCAAATACGGAGAAGCTCATCACCGAGTTCAGCGACGCACTTTTCAGCAACAGGGTTCTTGTTTGGGTTTTTCACGCGACCAACTTCTACAGCAAAGCCGTACTGACGAAGGGTTGCACCGTTGGACAGTGACGAGAAGCCAGGGGCGGGATCTACCCTAATGACGGCGGGGGCGGGGGGCAGGCCAGTGGACGCAGCTCGAGGCAGAGCCGAAGGAGACCTGCACGGATAGAATCTCGGCACTCGTCATTCAGTAGGCACGCAGCAGTGTAGGAGGTGGAAGTCTCGCGGACTACAAGTATCAGCTGACGATAACGCTTCATGACGTCTGCGGCGAAGGAGATACCCACACCCTCAGGAGGATCAGAGGTAGATTGCTCCACGAGACTGGATGAAACGTTTTTCAACGAAGAGAACAAGTGGCAAGACTGTGAGCACCTATCCAGGGCTTTGTCGAGGACTAAAGCAAAGAAATAACGCTGAATGATCAGCTTCATCCGATGGCGGGAGGGATGGTTCAGCTTTACATGCAGGGCGGAAAGGAAGCCATCTATGACGGCACGAGGAATGACTATACATTCGTGAGGAGAAGCAAAAGGCTCGTCGCGTCTTACAACGAGGGGTCCGTCTCGAGAGATGGTGACGACGTTTAGGTAACGTTTGACGTCTTTGATGATAGTCAATTTCTTTGAAGGGGGGTGCCCTGCTTAAGGTGCGAGTGGACGCGTCTAAGATCTGATCATTCGAGCTGAGTTTGGAGCCAGGCGGGGCAACTTGTGAGTGGCAAGGAGGCAAGTCCGGAAAGTACATCATGAATAAAAATAGGGCGAACAGCGAGATCCTCTGCTTCGGATAGGAAAGAGCAAATTTGACGGCGGGGGTCATCACAGGCTGGAGCATTGCGACTAGCGAAGTCAGATGGTAGGTTAGCAGAGCCGGCTAGATGGAGCAGCAAGATCTGGTAGCGGCTAACAGTTGACAGGAATGAAGTCAGGCGGGGGCTGAAGGAGAATTGACCACGACAAAGTTTCTCAAAGGCCTGGAAGCACGGCTTACTGTCAGTCAGAACATAAGACTTGGGGCAAAGTGCTTGACAGCAGCACCAATGGATTGGGCGTCTATTTCACATGGCAGCCCAGAAGCTTGATGTTTTTTAAACTTAGCGCTGAAGAAACCGACAAGGTGGAGCTTCTGGTCGCGGAGAATGTAAAGGGTTGCACCAAGGCCACTCATCTTGACAGACTCATCAGTCACGATCCAGAGTTGATCTTCAGGTTTGGGGAGAGCGATTGATTTGTTGGAAGTCAGAGCCTCCTGAGAGGAGCAGAAACATGCTAAGAGGTTATCAGACCCGACGACTGTATCCTGAGATTGATGACCGGCAGTAAGCGACTCGAGCGGAGCAAGGAGTTGGGCGCAACCACTAAAGACCCGGCCGAGCATTTTGTAGGAACCAACAAAAGCGCGGAGTCCACGAACAGTTTTGGGGGGTTCACAGGACGCCAGAGCGGCTATGCGATGCGGTGAAGCGTGGATAGAACCTTGGCACCATATCCAGGGAGGGGATTCACGTACTCTACGACGACCTTTATGTCCTGAGGGCAGCGGAAGATTCCTTGCACCTCTTGTTTTAAAGAAGGTCAACCTGGACTCGAGAGTACTGCGGGACACGCCCTTTGCGTTGGGGAGGTTCGACAGGACCCATGTTCACGATGCCTTCGATTGGGCCAGCGGCACCATTGTAGCCAAGGATGCGAGGATCAAAGACCACTTGGAATTCTCTTGGGAGTGACATGAACGAGGCTTTCCCAGAGGCAGATAGCAAACCGTCGGGATCCATACGGACAGACTCTACAGGGAAGAGGTCAGGAGCGGTAATCTTAGGAGGCGAAGAGGAGGTTCTGATCTTAGAGGGTTCCTGGGAATGATCGGAAACAGTTAGGCGTGCCTGACAGAAATGGTCCTTCTTACGAATAAGTAGAGGCTCCTTGGTGTCGTTAACGAGTCTCAGTTTACCACCGACGGCTTGGATAATGATAGGATGAGGCCAGGCGTGAGTGGGCTTGAGGTGGCTTGAGGAGACGGAGTCTATACGAGGTTCGACAGCAAGAGTTGAATCTTTAAGCAAATCGGAGGGGGGGGGGTGGCGTCAACTTCAAGAAATTTCCCTGGCCAAACGGTTGTGTTTACGATAGGAGCATAGAGGAGCTGGCAGGCTCTGACGGCGTAATGGGCTTGAGGGGTATTTGAATATTCATAAGACGCTTCATCAGTCCCAGCGATAATGATCTCGTGTTTTGCAGGGCGGACAGCGATGATTAATGTGAAAAACTGTTTGATGCTATTGTATCTAATCCAGATCATAAGTTGCATCATTTTCTCCCTCCCAAGAACTATTGTCATTATAACCTCAGAAGACAACGCCACTTTGCAAATCCAGTCATGCGTACCAAGCGTTTTTCTAGCACATTTCTGCCATCTATGTGCAGGCGTT